TTTTTTTTTGTCTGACGCATTTTGAAATTTTTCCAGATGCACTTCCGCATTGAAGGTCAGCATACGGACCACGACGTTCGGTACACGAAGCTTACCCTGGACTGGATTCTTGCAGTCATGCAGATGAAGCTCAAATTTTTCCAAAGACTTGAAAAGCTTGATATTTTCTAACCGACTTACTACACCTGTCTATGGGGCATTGGGGTTGGAGGTATCTGCAGTCTTAAAAGCACATGGCCATAGTGTATTATGACAAGTATGGTAACTCCACATAAATAAAAGTAGCAGCGCGGTTTGTATGTGTGCACGCCGATTGCACGGACCAATAAATACAGTAGAAGTGCTTAGTTTACATCGCACGTATGCCAACTGTACGCGAAGTTTCAGATACTTAAGCAAAGTCCTCCATTTACGCTTTGCACGTTATCGTTGTGTCAATTATTTCGTGCAAAACCCCGAAAATCGTAGAATGCCTTAATTTGCTACTGTAATATTATCTATGGTAGTGTTTCATATCATCGTTAAGTCTTATTAAATTTTATTTAATTTTAATAAATTTAAAATTTTCTGTTTATCGTAAAAATAACGCTTCAATATGGTCGCTAACTAAGTAAACATCTTGAATTCGTCGTCGTTTAGCTATTGACCGCTAGATGGCAGCACATTGTTTGAAATGTTAGTATGAAATAATAGTATCGTAACTTGCAATATTGGGTATATTGATTGAACTTTCAGCGATATGCCAACAATGTAACGCTTAAATTGTAATAGGTATTTAAATATGAAATTGCCGATTTATCGTACTGGCCAATTTGAATTAAAATTAAACCTGCATTTTATGAGATTTCAGAGTCAAACTTTTTTCACACGAAAACTATCGACTAATACTGTAAATAGAGTTACAAGAAGAGGAGAGAATGTTGGTTAATTTTTTCTGCATTTAACGGAGCAATAAACGTTTTTGACGTAACTCCACTTATGCCATTCTTCCATGAGGGGTGCGTGTGAGTTTTGGCGACAGAGGTTCTGGTAGTAATCTAGGCTTAAGGCACTTCATTGTTCTTTTCTGCCGTGTTACGGACGCACACATTCGCATAATTTAGCGATGTATTCGAGTTGCAATGCGCTGGTCGTCTCACGCGTGAGAGTCAGAATGGTGGGTGTACCTTAACGGATCATGACAAATTTTGATATCGAAAAATGTACCTTAGTTGTATTATTTAGTACCTGTGTTTAAAAAAAATTGTATCTGCATCAGAACGAAGTTATAGAAATATCAAAGGTACATCTGCCCTATTGACAGTTAATATGGCGGATGTACCTCAAATTACCACTTTTTATGTAATAACTATAAAAACTTATTTTTTCAAAAAATTCTACCTTATTAGTACTCTAAAGTAAAGAACCTCCAGCTCGACCAGCTGGTTAGTTTCTAAGAAATAAGACTGAATTTGTTGAGATTTCAGAGCGGCGTGTGCATCTCTTAACGAATCCTGACAAAAATGTAATTTTTTTTTAAATACAGGTACTAAATGGTATAATTTAGGTGGGTTTTTTGATACCAACTTTGACAGGATCCATTAAGGTACACCCGCTATTCTAACTCTCACGTCCCACGCGCCTTTGATTATTATGCGAATGTGTGCTACCGTACACGGCGCGCGGCGGTCGTGCACACATATAAGCCGAGCTGCTGAGTATGGAGCTATCATACTTGTTTTGTTATACTATGGTATGGTTTTTCCTCCCGCTCCTTACTAAACTGCCGTGGCTGTTGTTTTTTCTTAGACATATGACCTTACTTTAATTTTCAAAAGCTCTAATAGAAATAAGCAGTACCTTTTGTTTGTATTTTCTTTTTATTAAATGTATCTGATTTTCCATTCCGTTTCGCAGCAATATAAATAGAGCCTTACAGGTCTCTTGGTCACGGGCGGCTGGCTGAGATGGTAAAGTCATCAACAAGTTATATTAATGCAAATTAGAAAAAATAAAATAAAAGTTATTAATTTATTTTTTTCTTTATTTACTAGAGAACATTCCAATTTACGCTATATATATTTTGCTAAATATTTTAATTTGGTAGTATGAATTTTTACTCATCTAATTTTATTAATTGTTATTTTTTGCTACAATATGACTTAAAGTACATATTTATTATTATATATTTATATCCTACTTTAATCCGACATCATAGGAAATACAGGGAAACTGTGTCATGAACCATAAATTTTTTTTTTATGTGTATTATTTTGCCATAGTAAATTTTTTTGTCAAGCCTGAGTTGTCCATGAATAAAATTGATTATTTTTTTATTGCTGGTCGACTCAATTTTATATAATCATTTCATTGTAGGTACAAAAAAATCGGGACAGCAGAAGTTGATCAAATTTAATAAAATGTTGTTTCAACATACGAATAATAATGACCAATTTTTGTTATTGTTGATAGACTCAGTTTCTTAAGATAAAAATGACACATGAAAGGATGTAAAATGCAAACATGAAGAAATAATAAAGTGATCATTAGTTACAAATCTATTTATAACAGGAGTAATTAAAATTCCATACCAGTCGTATCCCAGCCTGAGTCATTTTCAAACAATCCTTGATTCGCAGAAGGCTTAGGGAAGATGATTTTGGTGTTAACAGCAAATATTATTCTTTAGATATCACTACGTGAAAAGATACACAGATTGTTTGAATATTTAGTTTTCTGTTTTTGTTTTTGGCGCTTCAGTTTGCTTTTGTGTCACAGCAAAATGGTGAAGCTTATTTATTGAATAGCAACTAAAAATAATTGGGAAGAATGTATCCGGAAATTAATTTAAGTGCCAAATTGTAAAAATAAAAAAAATAAAAAATTTTCTTTTCATTTTTTATTTTATTTTATGACAGATTGATAGCAATAATTTTATTATTACCGCGGTCTCCACATTAGGCAAGCCTGTATCGTGGGGTTCCATACAATTGATTTACATAGACATCAAACATTTTTAATAGCAAAGCCATAGCCTTGTGAAAGAGTTCGTCCAGGGAAGGCGAAGCACACCTTACCTATTTCTGCCACCAAGCAGTAATATTAGCACAGCTTACTGTGTTCCGGTTCTGACGGGTAAAGGGTGCTACAAGGTACACACACGTACAGTCGCAATCCCTCAGATTTTTGTATTTTAAAGCTCTTAGTGGCATTGCAACTGTTATGGACAGGCGTGTAGATTGCCACCAGACACACGACTTGTACGTCCCGTGTATTATAAAGAAGGTGCCTTCACTTAATCAAAAAGAAAACAAAGTGGTGGAAGATGCTTATCACTTGTTATTAGATACAAAAGTCCACCTTGTCTGTGCCAAGTTAAAATATCTTACTTATTCGCAAAGTTCAAGAAAGGAACGCTGTAACGCTCTCAGTATTGGCTTGGCGGCAGAAATAGGTATGGTCAATATTATCGATTCGGAGTATTCTAATTTATGTGAGCGACTGTAACCATATTCCATCAGCTGGATCGTTTGCCGCATTGTTTAGAATAAAATTAAACTATACTAGCCGATTTACAAGAAACAAATCACAATGGTATTACAAAAAATATACCAAGTATTTAAGTTGGATTCTAATTCAAGTTGGATTCGGTGAATCGACTATCGATTTAAATTATTCATCATGCTCGTCAAATATTTGATCGTTGAGTCTATGTTGCCCTGACCTTTGACATTAAACATCTATTACTTTCCACGTAACCTTCATAGTTGCAGGGTACACAGGTTTATTAATCTGTCTAATGTTTGATAATCTTTACGAGAAAATAAATTTATCAACTGTTAGGGGAAATAAATCCAGATTAGTCAAACCATGTTATTAACATCCCAAGATAGAGTGTGCGATGGAATTTCACGATTTAATTCCGTTTTTGTCTTTCCATCATCAGGGGACTAGATGTAGTTCCAAAATTCGCACGAAGCGTTAGGGGGCGTTCCCACTACGTCGTCATCACGTTTTATTATCGTTGGACGACTGTCGTGTCCAGCCTGTTCCCATATCACGACTATGTGTCGTGGACGATTTTTTATCGTTGAACGACTGTCGTGACTAGCTGTTCCCACAAGATCGTGACGACAATTTATCGTTTCACGACAGTCTCCTTGCCCATCTCTGACTACGACCCAACGCTACTGCAAAGCGAGCAGAGGGCGCGGGGCACAAGAGGGGAGGGCAGGGAGCAGAATACGCGCGTACAGCGATAAATAAAACGTGACGACAATAGGAGCTGCGACAATCTGTCGTCACGCTTTTATCGTGACGTTTTATCATTCGACAACTGTCGTTCTGGCTGTTCCCACTGTGACGACAGTTAGTCGTTAATCGTGTCGTGCTATATGTGAACAACTTAATTTAAATATACAAGCCACGACACTGTAAACTGCACGACAATCTGTCGTCACGATATACTGGGAACGCGCCCATACGTTTCCACATTTATATAGTGCGAACGCCTATGGAGCGGTATTCCCTGCCTGCAGACTAATTCCCTGAACGCTATAACTGGGACCTTTTCAAGGTGAGAGTGAATAGGCATTATTTAGGTGTGCATGCTCCATCGTCAACCTTATCGCCACTTTCCATCAGGGACGTGGAGGTCAAACACGCACTGGTTTTATCATGACAAAAAAAACTACGTTTCGCGGCGGTTTCAGGTATTGCGCTTACAATCGCTGAACCGACAAACCTCTGCCATTGCGTGGCACCAAACATAAAATGAGCTCTAAACACGAATAGAAAAAATATATTTTGTCGGAACTATTGTTCAAGTTCGAATAGATAGTGATGATGGTGAAAGAATCGTTTTGGCAGCAATAGAGCTCCTTGTGAAAGAGTTCGTCCAGGGAAGTACTGCCACCTTACCTATTTCTACCGCCAAGGATTAATATAAGCATTACTCCGTTTCAGTTTGGGAGGGTAAAGGTGCTGGTAAAATTACAAGCAAATGGGACTTATCATTATGTCTCAGGGTGATGGGCACAATGGCAATGCCCCTCGGATCTTTGTGATTTAAAGTTCTAAGGGGCACTGCAACTGTTAGGGATAGGCGTGTCGCTTACCACCAGTCGCGTGTCGCTTACCACCAGTCACATGACTTGTTCGTCCCGTGTATTATAAAAAAGGTGCCTTCACAAGCTTTACCTTTTTGATGAAAAAGAAAACAAAGTTGTGGAAGACGCGTATCACTTGTTATCAGATACAAAAGTACATCTTGTCTATATGCCAAGTTAGAATATCTTATTTATTCGCATTATTCAGGCAGGGTAAATATTTTTTTTGGTAACGCCAACAACAGCCTTTGAGGGTAGCTTCCGGTATCAGGCATCCAACTGCTGGAACAACCTGCCTCTTCCTACCCCTTGCCTTTACTAATCTTTTGGAACTGTTGGACCCACTGCTTGGATCCACTATTCGGTCCTCATTTTATTTATATTACGTATATTTACGTCAAGCTTTTTTAATAACATACGTGTATCGCATATCGTAAATGTGTAATGATACAACAGAGGATAAACACAACATGTACCATTTCCTTCGGACTTAATCGCCTCTGAAACTGGAACGACTGAAAATCAGCGTCCGTGTACACACTTAGTAAACTTAGAATTACTGAGTCAATTTACTGTTTCGATATTAAATATTAGATTTAAGTGTGTGTATAGTGACTCAATTGAATTAATAAACGTTTTTTCTTTCTTTCTTTCTTGTGACCTACTAGAATGTGTCTGGTACGAGTAACAGAGGGTGGCGTCACAGAATAATAAATACAGTAGAAGTGGTTAATTAGCCTCTCACGCGTGCCAACTATAGGTCTGGAAAGACTTAGGTATCTGAACTCAGTCCGCCTTTTTTGTTTTGTATGGTCCTTTCGGAAAATCTGTAAAGTCCTAGAAAAATGCCTTATTGTGCTGTTTAGGAGTACAAAATCGACAGCCGTACCAAAAGTATTACC